AAAAAAGAATAAACACACAAAAAAACATATTCAAATATAAGTAAAATTACTATATTAGACAGGGGTCTAAAACCTCTTGGGAAGACAAGGGTCAAAGACCTAGTTATAAACAAAGAAGTGAATAAGACAATTTCCTCAACAAGAAGAAAATCCTGTATAGTGAATAAGTATTATTGTTTTCTTAGAACAAAGGGACAATTTAATATCTCCCCTTTATTTGCTATGATAAATATGACTTTGAAATACCACAAATTCATGTGACCTTCTGCTGGCTCAGTATCTTCATATCTAGAATCAGAATGACCACCAAACTCACTGAGGTGTTCAGAGCATAAAATGAAAAAAAAATCTAATTATTATTCCATGTAATAGAATGTTTCAGAAAAAGAAATCTGAACTGCACTATAAATTGATTTTACTTTTCCTCAATATCAAATGCATATTTTCTTTTCAAATCTAAGAGAAAAAAACTGTCAATGGAATGATGCAGAAAATCCTGTTAATTCAGAGTATCATCATCATAGTATTATCCTAAATATTCTGAACAAAGTTTTCCTTCAGCATCTGTCACCTATTTATTCTTTCCTTTTCATTTTCAGTTACATCTCATCTCATTCCTATCCCTTATAGTTTTATAACTAGATTAATAAAAAGCCATGTGAACTTTCCTTCCTTGTCTCTGGTCTTTCTCCACTTCAGTCTAACCTGTACACTGTGAAAGGCTAATCGCCCTTAAATAGTTATCATGTCTCACTCCCTACTCTCAGAAGGGACTGTGGCTATGGCTTTCAACACCATATCCAAACCTTATTTTATACATATATATTTATAATTATATATCCATATATAATTATACTAAGAAAGTGATATTCCAGAAATCAGAGGTATATATAGCTATACAAGTGTATAATAACATTATAATAAAGATATATAAAATAATATTTAAAATTATATATATATATTCTGATCTCTGAAATATCTTTTTTATCAAACTAAGGAACTGTTGCCTTAACAGATCTAATTTATTTGTCCTGACCTTCATGGTGTCTTATTATATAATTACATCCACTATTTACCCAGAGATGTTAAAGTTCCCCCAAAATAGACATTCTTCTCTGGAAGGGGGAGTTTTTCATAAACTCTTTAAATTATTGCTTCCTAGCTCTGCCACTCTGGGTACTCCTCTTTCACTAGCATGCCCTCCATTCTCCTCAGCTTCCTACCCACTAAGGATCATATGACCTTGCTCCTTGTTTTAAGTCTTTTCTGCTAAAACTGAAGTCAATTCTCTTCTCCCTGTCTGTCTCCCTCTTTCTGGTAGTAGAGACCAAACCCAGGGACACTCGACCACTGAACTACATATGCAGTGCTTTTTATTTTTTATTTTGAAACAGAGCCTAAGTTTCTGAGACTGGCCTTGAACTTGTGATCCTCCTCTATCAGCCCCCC